TTATTACGCCGCCTCTATATACTATAGAAGTCTCTTTAGCTAATATTATCTATATTAGTTATTCTTAGTTCTAATAGAGTATATTATACTTTTCTACTACTTGTAGTAAGATAAGTATTTATAATACTCCGCTATCTACGTACGCAGTTAGTTTATAACCGTGTATAGACATAGGTATAGTTAATTCTAACTATTTTCTAGTGTTCTATACTATCTTAAGAGTTGTTTTAGAACTACCTTTACTAGCGTGACTCTATCTCTAGTAGTATCTTAGTTTTTTAACTGCCTACCTTTCTTCTACTTAGAAAAGTAGCCTTTATCTACTTTAGCAGAATAGTGTATTATACACTAGTCGTCGTAATAGAAGCTCTAATAGATATTCTAGTGTAGAATTTTCTACTTCGCTACCTCTCTTATTAGTCTCGTCTTCTTTACTTTATAAATTAGGCAATCCTTTACCTTATAGATAATTACTAATAGAGTACTATAGTAGTAGTCGTTTACTTCTTAAATATTCTTAAACTATTATTAGTAGAATATATATCTCTTCTTATAGAGCGTCTATAAGAGTTGTTCGTAGCTTTTATTCTTATTAGACTTCTCTAATTCCTACTTAAATATTCTAATTATTATAACTCTTAGTTTCTATACTTTATATATTCTATAGTATTTTACGTTATATTCCTTAGCGGATATTATACTATAGTAGTAGTCTTCTACTCTTTAAGTATTCCGTCACTATTTCTAATAATACTAGTAGTTAATTATATAGTTAATCTAGTATAGCTCTTTATAAGCTTCTTTTTCTCCTAGCTAGTATATATAGTAATACTATACATAACATTTATTATACTATAAGTTAGTATAGTAGTAATCGTCCTTATTATTTCTAGTATCTTCTTACTTCCTTAAGTAGTAATTATACTATCTTAGGTAATTAACCTAATATAGGCGCTTATATTACTCTATACGTTCCTTAAACGTCTAAAGTATCTCCTCGTTATTAGGCTCCTTAAACCTAGGCTATTTCTAGGCGGCCTAGCAGGTAATTTTCTCTACTTAAGGTCCTATAATAGTAACTTATTCTTTATAGTTGCAATTATTAGCTACGTATATTATAAGTCTGTAGATCTAGCATTATTAATTTCTTAAGTAGCGCAATACTTTGGCCCCTTTAACCTACTAATCTATTAGTAGTAGGTCGTCCTACTTAAAGTCTTAGAGTCCTATTACCTCTTATACTAGCTTAAAGGCCTTATCTATAGCTTATCTTACTTCGTTGTATAAGTCTAGGTCACTAAGAGTTTTATCTAGTTCCTTAGTAGAGTATAGTATCTCTACTTATAGTATTTATACCTTTTTCTAAACTCTCTTAGTTAACTTATTCTTTAGGTAGTCTCTATAAAAGTATTCTACTTCGCCGTAGTAGAGGTATACCTTACTATTATAACGCTTTTCACGTTCTTCTAAGAAGAGACCGTCGTTAAACTTTTCTTAGAGTTTCTTATTCTTATTCTTAGACTTATCTTATACTTTACTAGTTATATATATATCTCTATTACTGTCTTTATTATTCTAAAATTATTAGCTATTAGTAATTAATAATTTTAGTTAGTTTTCTTTCTAAGCTTTCTTTCTTTCCTATAATCGTATATTAATTCTTATTACTAACTTGATTAGTAAGTATAAATCCTTTAGCTTCTTATAGTATATAAGTTCGTTCTTAATAACTTTCTTTAGACTAGATTCGTAAGTCGTTTAAAGCGCTGAATTATCTTAATTAATTTATACTTAGTATTGCTTAAACTTAGCTGTGTATACTAATACTAACTTAGTCTACTTTAGGCGTAAGATTGCTTTCTTAGCCTAGCCTTCCGCGTCTACCTCTCTAAAGATACGTTTTAGTTCTTCCTTAAAGTTAGTCTAACTACTAAATAGCTTCTATATCTCTTCCTTAGTTTCTTTATTTAGAACGTTCTCTAGAAAGTCCTCTACGTAGAGTTATATCTAGCTAACTACTTTTCCTTTTATATAGGTATTAGCTATAAGGATTTTTTCCTTATCGTTAGACACTTCGTTATAACTATAATATAGGTTAATATTAGTAAGAAATATTTATAGCTTAGTGCGACTTCCGTTATATTTATTAGGTATTACTATCTTAGGTTTCTTAATAGGTTTTTTATTTAGCATAGCTATTATTTAGCTCATAAGCTAGTAGACTATAGCTTATAGATTAGCTATTAGTTTCACCTAAATCTTAGTCTAGTACCTAAGATTCCTTAGTTCTTATAAGTAATAAGCGTCTTTATCTACTTCTTCGTCGTCACTTAGAGTTAGTATCTTATCGTTAAGTACTAGGTTAGCCGCTAGTCCAGGACCCTATACTAGTCTACTAGTACTAGCCTAAGATTAAGAGTAATTATAAGATATCTTAAATCTTAATTGGGTATCTTATTATTAATCTTCTAATCTACTAAATCCGTAGGTAGTTAAAGTATTACACAGAGTTAAGTGCTAATACTCCTCTAAGCTTAATCTAGGTTAGAGTAAGTAAGTTAGTGTAAAAAGCGCCGTAAGAGTTTATCTAGTAATGCAGTAGAGTAGTGTACTTAAATAGAAGGTAATAAAGATTTAACAACTACTAATCTATATTAAATAGACTAATAAGTAATAATCTTATAAAGTAAAGTAACTAGTAAGAAAGTATAATTTAAGTAAACTATAATAAGGGTAATAATAAAATCTATCTATCCTTATATCCTTATTACTTCTAGTCCTACTATTACTACTATTATAATTTCC